AAAAATTCTTACAATTAGAAAATAAAGCATGATGACGTCATCAGGTAACACGAACATATCAAGGGGATATCGGTAATATATATGTCAACAGAAAATATAGAGATAAAGTTTTAAATGGAATCAAAATGCCAACTAAACAGTTGGAATATACAAAATCGTAATAAATGTAATGTAACGACCCAAGATTATTTGTGGACTCTTGCTACAAGTACGACAACTACAATGTTCAAAATTAGTTGTTTCACACTTTGCAAGTTAATTCTGAACAGATTATCCGACCCAGTGATTATCAAATAATATTATAAACTTAAAATAATTAATTTATTATTGCTATACTCAAATCCAAAGAGTCAAAAAAGACATTGTCACAGGAAACTTAACAGTTGCTTTCTCTCTCTTGCATTTAGCCAACTACGGCCCAACCAACAACAAACACTAGATATGTACAGCTTTTATCAATCGAATCGCAAAATTTTAATTAACGAATTCCACAAACGGTCATTGCTGTCCCTATTCTGATCAACCACAAAGCAACTATGACAGCTATTCAGATGCACATTGCACCCGCTCATAATAAGCCCTGTAGTACTCTAAAATTCCACACAAATATCTATAAGTACCAATCTATCAACATTGTTCCAAACCAACGTTCCAAACGGTCGAGAGGCAATCTATCATAAAATAAATCTATGATATATTTACACACAGTCAATGCATTATCACTATTCCTAAATCAGCTATCAACGGACTCTTTTCACTAAAAGGGTGAGGTTCACTATAGAAAAGGTTGACCCCTCATAAAGACTTATCACCTCATATACAAAATAAGGTTCTACTAATCCGAAAGTCTACGAACAAAATGTAAATTTACGCATTCGAAATAGAGATCAAATTTGAATGGACACTCCACAGCAGATGGGATCTCGTCAAAGTTAGCGGTAGTTTTTTCACAACAATCTCTTCTCGGACTTAACTTACGTTATCTCGCCCACGAACGTCGCAAGGAATAGAAACCCGCACGTACATAATAAGGACGATATTTCTAAAGAAATTTAAATTCGCCCGCAAAGGTCCCCAAGATAGGATTAAAGATTGGGCGCTGAGATGGCCCTTTTGTGGTCGACCCTTAAGAAAACATGTCTTGATATGGAAATATCTCGGACGGGAGTTAATCGAGGAATCATTTGCGGGGGCGATCATTTATCAGAAGTACCGTCTATGAATGCGTAATTAGTCCACAGACAGAGCAGCCCAACGGTGCCCGTTTGAACCTCATTGTTGACGTTTATTTCGCGTGAGTGGGCAAGTAAAAAGTGCGCGGTTGTTTGGGCCGCACGAACTGACCGTTTTGAGGTGCGTCAGACCATGCATGTCGAGTTTAAAGGATAATTTTTATCTGGGGTCCTATAGAATTCGAAATAGATATCATTGTTTACGTCACACACCGGTGAGCCCTGAATTGCGGGCATGATAAAACAGATGAAACATAAGAGGTTGATGTCAAAATAGAAAGATTACGAGATAAACAGTAAGTCGCCTGATAACGTGGAAAGTACATTTTAACAATATTTAAAAAGATATCAGGATATACAATATGAATACGGAACACGCATACTCACTTCAACAATTCTTCATTAATTTGTAAACCAAACAACAATTCCAAATACTGGACTCGATTCACACTTGAAACAATATTTGTTTTGATACAAACAAGTGACGGCCAATGGTTTACCAACGTTTTGTAATGGTAATGACTGTGGCTTTGTGGACATGGCTTCCATAACCAGACGCAGTTTTTGTGAGACAATAGCTGAACAATATAGATATAAATCGTTGTACAACTGTTGAATCTTGGTCTAAATACATTACGAGTACAATCTACAAACTGAAAGGACACACGAACAGCACAAGACAAACTTCCCCTAACATTTTAATAAGTCGCAGACGTCATTTCTAAAATTAAAACCCACTTATTCCAAACCCGCCACTTAGCCACCTTCCCATTTATACAAAAACTAAAAATATCCATGCTCATTGTGTCACGCTTAAAGGAGTTTCATAGGTCACGGCGAACACATGAGCTTGTACCACGTGTCAGGAACACGCCAAACATTTTTTATCTTTAAAAAATTATAAAAGACCGTGCCTAACAATAGGACTCGGTAGCATCTTTGACAATTGTAATATCGCAGTTATTGCAACATGGAAGGTCATTAACGCCGGTAATATGTTTAACAATAATGAACTCAATTGCAATGCTTGAAGGTTGAATATTTGATTCATGTTTAAATAACATCAACTATTTAACGTTTGTCCCGGTCACGGTTAACGTAAGGGTCATCACAAAAGGCAGATGACAACAATACGCGTGCGTCAATCGTGTACTCATGCAAATAATTTTTTTCTCCTAAATCATCCCTTTTATCTGTCTGTACTGCGATAGGGTTAATTAATATGTACGGAATAATACAATTAAAATTAAGATCCCTTTTTAAGTTGGCACGAGGTCACGACTTACTGTCACCATTAGAGTTATGTCCTTGTTTTGACAATAACTATACATTATGAATGCGGTTTTAAAAGTTAAGTGTATTTATGTACGGTCTCTTTTGTTTCTGGTTATCACAATAATTTATTGCGATAGTTTATTGTGATGGGGCCCTTATGGTATATTGAAAATGGTTGCTTTGACAGCTCACTTAGAAGGGTTAATATGAACGTTTAGGATAAACGCAATAATCCGAAACAACTGGTGTTGAAGCAAAACCTGCAATTGACACTTCGCTAGCGCAATACAAATCTGTATCTAGAGAAGTAATAACGTCATATTTAGTGTTCAGATATAGCAATAACAATGACGTATGTACATATTATGTATTCAATATCTAACTTAGTATGAATATCTGTACATCTGGATATAAAAATCGAATGATATGTTTATCAATGCTTTAAATAACACAAGGTATGTTTACGTCTTGTTATCAACAACATAATTGAATGATTGTCGCTATTATAAGGAATAGTTTTGTATCAATCAAAATCAAGTTTTATTTGAGTAAAACGTGAGACAAGAATTTATTAGGTGTTATTTTAGAAATCTAGCTCAGATTTTTCAGATCAGTTTTGGATCAAAGAAATTGTGTTTCAGAATCATTTGTATTGTTACATAATCGTAATTACCAAACAGTTGAAATACTGTAGACTTATATTTTTATCTTTTGTTGCATTTAGTAAAGTAGCTGACAGAATGCGGGTTGAGAATTTTGAACGGTACACAATTTTCGGGTTTTAAGGAAGGCTTTGTTGTGCAACGGGTTTAATACAAAAGTGTCAAATGACAGCACATCTGGCCGCACAAAGGGTTAGTCTCCGATAGATTATTTCTCGAACCACCCTCACAAGATTGCTCGCTTATACAGATGTTCGAGCTACCTCGGCTTTTATTTATCCTACGCTTTATTGAAACGGTTTAAGGATTAGTGAAGTGATTTTTAAAAAGATCTACAGCTGAGTTGAAGTAAGTTTTACTTTTAGACAATCAATGGGTTAAAGTACCTACTCTCATTTAAATAAAATAAGAGTTATCGCGTATCAAATACTATTTACTAAATTGATATTATTTTTATTTAACATGAAATGAGCAATGTATTAAGAATTTCTTTTGATTATTCATAAATAGTTTTATATGTACAACATTGCTTAATTTTTGTGTGACAGACGTAACATATGTGTCTCTAAACTTTAGTTTAAATGTCTATAAATAGTTTGAAATACACTTTAACTCAAAAAATTTAAGACCACAATTTGAAACATCCTGTTACTACTGACGGGATTAAATCCCAATTTGAAATGTATGGACACACAGTGACGCTGCAGAATGTACGTGATTGTCCAACATTGTCATTGTGCAACATCTTGCGTGACAAACTGATAAAGATAAAACCATCGACAAAGAATCCTTTGAGACTGACGAGAAATCATTAATATAGTAAGCATCTGACCGTCATAGGCATGACGTTTAAACTTCTAAAATTGTAGACTTTGTCAAACATACGTGTTTTGTAATAATGGCATTGAATGTCAAGAAATGTGACGACGTTCAGAACCTGATAATTGTATTAACGAGTTCCATAGTTTGATATAGTAATAACTTGAAAACGTTTTAAAGCAAAAAGATTCGTCTGGATATCTTAGTTATAAAGTTTTAAAAATAGTTTGTGTTTTAAACTATGGCTTAACGCATATATAAGGATATTTTTATTACATTTCTAAAACTTTGTTTTAATTTATTTGACACAAAAGACAAAGAATATTAGTTCAATCCTAATAAAATCTAAAGAGATTTTGTTTAAAATATTAGGTAACTACTTACGAGTATGTAGGTAATTTCATACTTTGATGGACTAAGGAAATGCATTTCGAACAAGACATTCATAAAGGTTTTTTTAAACATGGCCATTAAGTTGGTACTGCTAATGATATAATTGTGAATAGACTCTTTTTTCCCAAATTGTTACGAGTATCGTTAGGTTTTTATGGTCAATTTCAGTTAAAATTAATTTACAACTTTAAAGATGCACACTTGGGTTAAATAACCTTTACTTGGGACATAAGTCCTTCATATTGTAATGATATTAGACCCAGACTATAATTAATTATTTTTATTTGATATTGTTCTTCTTTTTTAATTTAAGACACCTCAAATACCGCAGTGTGATCCCGAACTAGGCGATTCGTTAAGGTAATTAGAATTGATGAATACAAAGATACATGTTAATGAAAACATCATCATCAACAGCCTTTATCAGTCCACTGTTGGACATAGGCCTCTCAAATAAATACATATGTACGTATTATAAATAAATTACACTCAGACACTAATGGTCATGTTCATCACACAATTATTTGTTTTGGGTAGGCATTAGATTGCGGGCTCAGTAGAATATGACTACAGTAGGCTAATAGACCTGTCAATGAACAATGTACATGAATTAACTTACCACTGTGCATTGTATTAGATTCAGCATCAGCAACTTCAGTTCTAGATTTTTTCTGGTCCTCGGGCGATCCTGAGGTATCCATGTGTTCTTGTTTAATCTTGGGTTTGATGTCCTCGTCAGGAGAACTGGAAGGCATCGGTGATGTAGATGCCCTCCTTTTGGGAGTTGAGGTTTCAGTATCAGCTGTTGACGAAAACTCAGATTAAGATTTCTAAATGACTTGTAGGATATACTGCTATATCTAAATAAATAGGAACACAAGTTCTCTAAATTGTTGTAGATGATAAAAGTTTACGTGTTAGTATGATTTTTAGGTATGATAGGGCCTGATGGAATTTTATTTAGCTAAAATAGGTTGTTGTCAAAAACTAGGTTCTACACAACTCGTGCTACTGCTAAAGTAGAAGTAGAGTCGTCCTTTAGTAGCTCCTGTTATATATTCGAATAAACAATGGAACAATTCGAATAAATAACTGTTACGTGAGATGTGTTTCAAAAGATTAAAGTTAATATGTTCGATCGAAAACTAAGAGTAATATTATGAAATCAGTAGCTGTCTTTAGCAAAAATTATATACATTGATATACGTTTAAATATGAATAAAATAAATATTACAGCAATGACTCCTATTTCAATTGACTACTAAGAGAACTTGTAACATTAATCTATTTTATTTGATTACTTAATTACACTACATATATACTAAAATGAATTTAAAATTACATAATTATGTAATTCATACCGTCTAACAATCGCTTTGGAGTACTGGATGCACCTCCGTCTTCTAAAAGGTCTGGTGGCGCTATAGATGGACTGGCAAGAGGAGGGGTATGCACCCGACTGCTCGGAGGTCTTCTCGCTGTAAGAAGGGAGGGCCTCCGGACACTGGTGCTCCCACTTGAAACTTGACCAGGCCTCGAGCCATCTTCTGGGTCTGAATTAGGACCTGTGATAATTAATTCTTAGATAAATTATCATGCATACTCAACTATATTGGTAGTAGATAAGGCTAATACTATCATTGAAGTTTACAGCAATAGCGTGCCTAACATAGCAGTAGCTGTGTGCTCGAAATCAATGTGTTCTTTCATGGGATTGAGATGATCCAATGCCACGATCGAGAAGATAATTTTGTTTATGTATCGTCATATTGTATAGTATATTGAGAGCTCAATGGGGCAGACTGTAAGTACGGGTATGCAGTATCTAGTGTGGCAAGTAGAAGTCATTAATATGTAAATATACTTTAATAAGATTGCTTTCAGTTATGTTCTTTTCATTGGTACACTTACCAGTACTGTAACAATGATACGACGTTAGGTCCTTATCACAGGAGGAAACTTTGTGTTGTATAAACCGCACAATGTCGGCAAGGGCGAAGGCTCGTCGACAGGCGCCGCAGGTCAACGTGTCTGCTGGCACCCCAGGTGTGGGCGACCCTCCGCCTTCTGCCGCGCTGTCCGCATCCGCTGGTAGAAAGAAAGAGAGAGTTAAATTAGGCGAGTTCAGAAAACTAAAATTTAAAAACGTTGTAAACTTTGATGACAATTCTATTATAGTGTCGTTTTCTTAATTTATGATATTGAAGAAACTGAAAGAAAAAAATCCCGTTGAGTAAGTTTACGTTACCTATAAAGTACATACGTGCTTGACACTTTAGTGCTAAGAGATATGTTTGCTTTATAGGTAGAGGTCCACTTTATCTGGTAAGAGCTTGAGAAGTAGGTAATTCAAGTGGTTTATCGACAGCATAGAACAAAACACAAGTATTCCACAGCTTTGCTGAGTCTCAGAGAAATAGGTTTGACAAAACTTAAAATATATTGTTAGCCCTTGAGCTTGCTCGTATCTTTGATTCTGAAGACGATATCTTGGTTTCTAATACAGAAAAAAGATTTATTTAGATCTAAACACATACCTACTTTTTTTTTATAGATAGGATAGGAATAGAAATGTTCTATGCAAAATAATGCGATTTTTATTCTATAGAGAGATAGATATATTTGTTTGTTTCTGTGATTATATTTGTATGTCAAGAGCCAAAAATTTGAAAAATATTACAAATATTTTATTACAGTTTTTTTATTTGTTTATCAAGTCGATAAGTTAATGAATGCGTTCTTAAAATACCCAACATTTAACTTGACACACTTTCAACTCAAAGGATATCTGTACCAGTCATTATAAGAAAAGAAAAAGTTTCACAACATTCGTCCAACATATGGGAAATGACACTTTCTGTCAATAATTTAAGTGTTAAATAACACTTAATTGTTGGTTGTTGCAGTCACGGTATTCCGAGGTGTCAGTTGTAGGGTTGACCGCTTATATCTTCACAAAAGGCCAGTAATAAGCATCTTGCTTGCGGCCCGTGTTTTAAAGGGTTGTTTCTTTGTAACGACAAGAAAGTTAAAAATACTTTTATAAACAGATGTTATTGTGAGTTAAATTTGATATCAAGTTTGTATTAAATTATTGTCCTCCACAATTTTTGTTTTTAGGATACTCTTGACTCTTATGATACTCGCTCTTTAAAGGAGGATGCTCATTCATGGTTTCACTTTTAGACGTTCGCCTCATTATTGAAAATGTAAAAAATAGTTGCTATTAATGTGACTTTTCGGCCCTGGATCTCTTCTATAGACCTTAGGGCTTGAAATTTAATCTTACAGAGTGAAACCTGCATTAAAGACCGTTTCCATTTCAAGTTAAATGTCGCTATTATAGAAAATAAACTATTAATATTTTTATGCAAATAAACATCGTTTTAAAATAATATGGTTAAATAATAATATACGTGATAATAATTCGTTATGTCACACTTGTAGTCGTAGTTTATTTAGTGAATGTATACTTCAGTGTTTGTATTGTCTTAATTTATACTTGGTACTTTACACTTTTTTTTTTTTTTTTTTTCTTTTCCGTGCGGAAATCTCCTCGGATACCACCTGTCGGTGGCATGTCGGACTCGAACCGACTAAAACCGCACGCCGTCTCGGGTATTAATAGCTGGGGAACCAGGTATACCCTAGAAAGGAAGTCCCTGGTGATACATGGTATCCCTGTGAAAAACACGACGCCACAATTATTATAAAAAATATATCGTCAGTGTCACAATATTTTCTCGTTGTTAATATTTTCACATTTAATTTCTCAATAACCACAAGTTCTATTATAATATTCGTTAATATTTTAGATATTACTCAATGCAGGCTTAATAATGCGGTTTATATACATATTTTACTCAGCAAAAAAAGTGTCAAACTGATTTTCATACTGAAATTGGCATTCTCCTTTCTTGTTCAAATTTAAACGTCTTTTTGTTAATCATAAATCCTACTTTCCAAATCTCGAAAATCATAAACAAGAAAGATTGTATAATAGAAGTATGTACGTTGTGAGAGGAATATTATGCGCGTGAATTTGCAATCAATTTTTATTTCGGTAAATGGTCTATTACAATAAATGTAGGTAAATCAACGTACGGTGGGCTTATATTTAAAATAAGTACTACCTATTAAACTTGATTTAACCTAGTTATTGCTGACTAAAGTTTCATCCTTTTTTCTAATTTTAATTTTAAACATTTTGTTCAAACAAAAAGCCTGGCTTGAAGAATATTACTGTTATTTCTAAATAAAAAAAAACACAAAGTATTGATAATTTCAGTCAAATTATTATTGTTTTTTTTTTCGATTTTCAAAATAGACTAGCGGTGTTCAAAATAGACTAGAGGTGTTGTCACGGTGTTAGTAAAGTATTACCTATATCATTCATTCGCTTTTTATGTACCCTTGTGCTTTGCACAGAATTTTTTCCCAGTGGTGGGAGAAGATCTTTTTATTTTATGTATTTAAAAGACCACAATTCAGAAATTAGAATTAAACTATAACGAATATTGCATACTGCTATATTTACACTATCATTTAATGACTCAAAAGCAGGGCTACGGGCTCTCAAAAGTTTAACTTGTAAATATATAATTAACACTTTACATTAATTGACATTTCTATATGTATATAGTAGACGAGCGAATAAGACTAGCCAACGCCTTACATTATAAAGGCGCTTTCACAAGCTCACACAATTGGTCGGCACATCAAAGCTGCTCGCGAGCTAATTTCATATAAGTACTGTGTAGACGCCCTTACATTGCCCTCTTGTTATTATTATTTTCCTCAATTTTTTTTTGTGAAACGCAATGTTCGCTGTACTTAGGGCTGGCATTTGAAGAATATGTTTTTTTTAATTGAATGTAAAAAGTTAAACAACGCTTTCAGACCCGTCAGTTTCCATGAGTATTTTCCCATTAAAATTAATCGGACGTTGGGCTACGACTAAAACTAACTGACCGACTGTTTATTATAATGATAAATCCTGATTTTTTGAAACTAGCATTTTTTTTAATTTCTAAATGTATTTTATTTTATTCCGATCGATTGAGATGGCTAGGATTGACGCTTTACAAAAATATCGTAAGTGCCAACCCTGGCAGTACCGTATAATGTCTATAGGGGTTGTATTGCATTGTAACCGGAGAACTAAATTAATATAGCTAAAAAACCTACGTGATTCGACGTTCTTTGTTTGTATACCTAGTTTGTTTAGGGGGTATATTATGTAAATGTTTTGTATAATGTTAATTTTTAAAGGTGACGGCTCGTGGCAAATGGAAGCACTTCCTCAGGAAGCAGGAAGGAAGGTGGCTTTGGCTCCTGCGCCTATGTAAATATTTTAATAGTGGCACGCGGTAAGTCTAAATTAGCTATGAAGGGTATAAAAAGACATTTAATAAGCCTGTTTGTAGCTATTTACCGAATATAGATTTTTGCTTTGTATTATTGATTAAGTAGGGGTAGGAATTATTATTTTAAATTTTATCCCCTTTGAGACTACATAGGTTTTAAATATTTACCAACATTGCGTTTTTGTATTAATATTTTTTATATCCAATCGCTGTATAAAACTCTTGTAACAATTCTGAACTAATCCCCCCAAACGTGCCTACACATTACCTAGATACAAATACATAAAGTTTTACACGTTTACCTAAACCCAATCGAAACCCTATCAATTTACGTGGAATTTATCTACACAGTGGGTCAACTCGGAGCCACAATCGGATAAATAAAGCGTAGCCACACCCACTGCACGCGAGTGGACACTGGTCACCACTTACCACACATGCGCTGTGTGGACAAAAACTTCACACCCACATAAATTTTTGAATCAGAGGTTTAAGTGATTTATGACGCTGATATCTCCACGAGGGTGGTAACTTAATTTTTATTTTCAGATTGATTTTAAAGCTACTCCAAGATATTGGCATATATTAAGGCTAACAGTATTTTATTTAATCTATCTAGTATTATCAAACATGATAAACACGATAGATATAGTAGATAAGTAAAACTGAATCACAATATTAATAAATTGTAAATCAATTAACAAAATTTGTTCAGTCAAATTTCAATTGTGTCTATTTAAATGTGTAGTCAAATTAAAAAAAAAACAAAGTAAAAATAAATTGAATTATTTAGAACTCAAAACCTATATGAAAGACACGTGCATTTTATTTCTATTTTATTGAAAAGTGGCGTCTAACCAAGGACAGTCGCCTCAGGTGACGAGAAGGGAGACACCCTCCGAAAGGACTGAGAGACCGAAAAGTTTAAATTAGCTCGTTACTACACACGGCGTAACATGCCAGTTATATCTCGACATTTGTTTTTTCACTGAAAAGGTCATACTGCGGAGCTAGAAGTAACTTCTGTGTTAGCAAAGTTCCTACTTGGCCATTCGTTGCATTAATTATTAATTACATTCTGTCCCCACAGGCACCGCTTCCAAATGTACCACTGTGTTAATTTGTAAAATTCCTCTAACGGTGCAAGTTTAAGAGTTTATAAACATTTTTGAATTATTTGAGATCGATGTAATAGAACATACTTTTAATCTGCATTTGTTACGTTAGTGACAAAAAATATATCTAACTTTGACATAAGTCTGACCACCGTGACCAACATTAATTGGCAGGGGATCGCGGTCCCTAGTGAATTTCTATAGAAATCGTACGTTTTTCACGACAATCAATCGAAAATAAAAGTAATAAGAATGGATATCAAATGTTGCGGGGGTGTTTATTGTTGTAGTGTTATTATGATTTTGGTTGCCCGATATTTGGGTGTGGCGATCGTTCAAATTTGGAATATTATTTTCGAAGTACAATGCTTCATCGCATCAATAATATATATATACGTTGCTTATAGAATTAGAACTTAAAGCAGTTCATACCCGAAAAATACTTATTCTGCTACCTATCATACTATTCTAGAATCACTGAACCCATTAAAATATTTTTTGAAGATCTTAAATACTTAAACAAAATGGTCATTTTAGATTTTAGCCATTTTAATCCATATGAAAGCATCGAAGTTTCTAAAAACTTTTAATTTTCTTTTCACTTTTT